GATTGGTCCATGGAGGAAGAGCTGTATGTCTGTCTGTGTCAGATACATATTTAAACCTTTAGGTAAACGAAAGTCTTTGATCAATCTATATTGGCAGATAATCAATATTACGGGACTCAAATATTGATCAAATACTGCTTCCACTACTAATACTTCATTTCTTTATTGATAAAGTCAGAGCGTAACAAAGCTTTATTGATTATTTCTTTATTCTGGGTGTTTAACTGTGACCTACAGTACCCAGAATGCTTTGCAGTGTGCAGTCCGTCAGGGTGGGGTCAGACTGTGAGCGTCAGATAAAAACTTTATCGACATCACTGGCATAATGAACAGTCAGGCCCCGCCCCTTTCTCAGAATAATGTTCAGGCTGACCAATGAGAGCGCTCGCTGTGGTTTCCTGTGTGTGTGTGTGTGTGTGTGTGTGTGTGTGTGGTTATTAATTCTGCAGAATTCTATCTGTTGTTGTTTCTCAGTAACTGACATTTACTGTCCGCTCATTTTTCTTCTTAAATTTATTCTCAGCAGTTTCAAAGCCTCATTTACTCTGTTCCTCAGTCTGTACAGAGAACATACAGAGAACATACAGAGAACATATAAACAACATACAGACAAGAACATATAAACAAATACAGACAATACAGCAGAACATCAGTGAACAGTACAGAGAACATTAAAAACATACAGAGAACATACAGAGAACATACAGAGAAACATATTAAACAACAGTACAGGAGAACAACAGTAAATACAGAACATACAGTGACATACAGAGAACACTTATAAACAACATACTAGAGACATACAGTGAACATTACAGAGAACCATACGTGAACATACAGAGAACATTACAGGACAACACTACAGAGAACATACGGGACATACAGAGAACAGTATAAAACAACATACAGACAATATACAGAGACATACAGAGAACATATAAACCAACATACAGAGACATACAGTGAACATTACAGAGAACATACAGTGAACATACAGAGAACATATAAACAACATAAGACAAATACAGAGAACATATAAACAACAGTACATGACAAAACATACAGAGAACAGTACAGAGAACATTACAGACAACATACAGACAAACATACAGAGAACATATAAACAACATTACAGAGAACAGTACAGGGGAGAACATACAGGAACCAACAGGAGAACATACAGCGAACATTAGTGAGACATACAGTGAACATACAGGAGAACATACAGTGAACAGTACATGGTGAACATACAGGACAACATACAGACAACATACAGAACATATAAACACATACAGAACAACCATACAGACAAGCATACAGGAGAACATATAAACACATACCCAGACAACATACAGACAACATACAGAGCAACATATAAACAACATACAGACAACATACAGAGAACTATAAACACATACAGACAGACTACAGAGAACACTTACGGCTAGTGAACATACAGAGAACATACAGGAGGAACATAGGTGAACATACAGGTGAACATTACAGAGAACATACAGAGGAACATACAGGTGAACATACAGTGAACATACAGACAGCATACAAGACAACATACAGAAGGAGAACATACAGAGGAAACATATAAACAACATACAGACAAATGCACAGGACAACATATAACAACATACAGACAACGCATTACAGGAGAACATATAAACAACATACAGGACAACACCTACAGACAACATACAGAGACACATACAACAACATACAGAGAAACATCAGTGAACATACAGTCGAACGATACAGGACAAACCATACAAGGAGGAACATACAGACGAACACTACAGTGAAGCAGTACAGAGAATATACAGAACGGGATACAGCTGAAACATTACAGACAACATACAGAAGAATAGTACAGAGAAACATGACAGAGCAAGCATACAGAGAAGCATACAGACACACACATAACAGAGAATATACAGAGAGACATTACAGAGAACATACAGAGAACATACAGTGAACATACAGAAGAACCATACAGAGAACAGGAGTAATACTTTATTGGATTTTAAGAGGCTTTTATGAACAAAAACCATGTTGTTGCCAAAGTAATTAACAATATACTACATATTACCATAATCTAAAATATATATTTATATATTCCAGGTAACTAATAACAATATGTGTCCTCTGGATGCCAGCAGACAACATTAAAAGCTGTCTCTGCTGCCTGTTCTGCTGCTGTCTGTTCTCTTTGCCTGGTCTCTCTGCCTGTCTCTCTGTCTGTCTCTCTCGTGCCTGTTCTCTGTCTGTCTCTCTGCCTGTCTGTCTCTCTCTCGTGCCTGTCTCTTCTGCCTGTCTGTCTCCTCTGCCTGTTCTCTGCCTGTGTCTCTTTCTGCCTGTCTCTCTGCCTGTCTGTTCTCTCTCTGCCTGTCTCCTGTCTGTTCTCTCTCTGCTGTTCTCTCTGACTGCCTGGTCTCTCTCCTGTCTCTCTGCTCAGTGGAAATGGTAAGGGAGTGGTAGGTCGTCATGGTGACTCCAGCGCCGCTCAGGTTAAGGAGGGAGTTTCCCGCCCCCCGCCCCCCCCCCCCCCCCCTGGGTGTTTTCACATTAACAACAACCTGATCAACAGATTGGGGCAGATCAGCACTGTCACCTGTCCTCAAAAAGTCCACTCTGTGTGTGGTGGTGGTGTGTGTAGTGTGTGTGTGTGTGTGTTGTTACCTGTGTTATACAGAGGAGTTATCAGGAGGAGGGAGATTGAAGAGAGAACGCTGGGAGGAAAGTATAAAGTAGAATTGGAGAATAAACTCCCATAAAGGGTACAAATGAATCTGCTACTTTCATTGATAATCTGCCTGTAATCTGCCTGATAGCTGAGTTCAACAGAAGTAACCTGGTAGATTAAAATCTCTTGGTAAGGGCTGGATGACTCAAGACAATCCAGATGCTGAAAATTTTAACCAGCTACCACATCGTGTACGTCGCGTTCGGTGTTTTAAAAAAAAAAATCCTCGCTGGAGAGCGTCCTCGACAGCTCATGGTCTCACTGTCTGTCTACAGTCTTGTCTCACTGTCTGTCTCACAGTCTGTTCTCCTGTGGTGTCTCACTGCTGTGTCTCACTGGTTGTTGTCTCACTGTCTGTTCTCACTGGTTGCTGGTCTCACAGTCTGTCTCACTTGGTGTGTCTCCACTTTGTGTGTCTCACTGTCTGTCTCACTGGTGTGGTCTCACAGTCTGTCCACTGTGTTCTCATCAGTCTGTCTCACTGTGTGTCTCACAGTCTGGTCTACACTGTGTGTCTCACAGTCTGTCTCACCTGTGTGTTCACTGGTGTGTCTCACGTCTGTCCACGTCTTGTCTCACTGTGTGTCTCACTGGTGTGTCTCACAGTCTGTCTCACTGTGTGTCTCACTGTGGTGTCTTCACTGGTGTGTCTCACTGTCTTGTCTCACGTGTCCTGTCTCAGCTGTGTGTCTCACTGCTGGTGTCTCAACTGTGGTGCTTCACTTGTCTCACTGTCTGTCTCACCTGTTGACTGAACTGCAGACGGATTAAAGACGTTCATTATTTTATTTCTCAAATCATTCAGTCAGTTTTTAATATTAATACACAACCTGTCACATGACCACGGCCTGTGAAACAGTGAACTGCATGAACCTGAAACACACAAACATGCACACGCACACACATACACACACACTGGGTGATGTGTTGGGACATTCCCTCCACCTGCTGCTGATCAACCATGTGTGTTAGTTTTGTTATGAGTCTGTGGGTGTGTACACACACACACACACACACACACACACACACACACACACACACATCCATGTTTGTGAGGACATTCGGTCCTCGGTTTCGGGTCAGAGCTTCAGTTTTGCTTCGCTTTAAGGTCGCGGTCCTCACAAAGATAGAAGTGCTCACTCTCACACAGTGCTGATGAGAAACAGGAAGTTGTCAGGGGAGATTCTGAGAATTGCCGGGGTGACGGACCATGTGACTTGCTGGAAATCAAACCAAGTGATGCTCATTTGCATACCACGGAGGAAGTGTGTGTGTGTGTGTGTGTGTGTGTGAGAACAGCCGACCAATCAGGGCTGAGCTTCAGATTTCGACTCAATGTCAGGATTCGATTCAGAGTTCATTTGTGTGAAAAGAAGTATTTTTAGTTGCTCTGGTGTTTCTGTATGAACACAGCCAGCAGCTCTTAGCTTAGCTTAGCATAAAGACTGGCAACAGGGGGAAACTGCTAGCCTGGCTCTGTCTGACAGTAATGAACTCCTTCCAGCTCCTCTAAAACTCGCTGACGAACACGTTTTATATATGAAGTGTAAAAATGACCATTAACTGTTTTGCAGGAAGTTGTGAGACTTTATTTTGATAAAGGTGGATTGTTTCCACGCACGTTTGTTCTCACTGCTGCAGATGAGCCGTTATTATAGTTCACTACAACTAAACTACCTGATGTGAAAACTACTTTTAGTTCACTTAAAAAAAAAAAAAATCAGGAAATGTTTTAAGTTTTAGTTTCTGATCAACACAACAACGTGAGGAGGCGTTGGTTCACATGTTCATTGAGTCAGTGTGTTTCTGCCTATTAGGACAGATAACCCATTATAGTAATTATATTATTATTATAATTATTATAAAAAACTGATACTTATTAAACCGAAACTAAAGATTTTGAAACGATAACAACTAGAGGCTCATTGGTCTCCGGTTATCGGCCGGTAAAGATCGGTCACACAGACGTGTCGCTGTGAAACCGTTTTTAAGCGCTCATAAAAGTATCTTCAACTTTTCAGTGCAGACAGCCAATCAAATGAAGCAAGAGGCCGGCTTCACTACTTTACCACTTCCTTCCTTTAATGCTGTTTACTATGTAGGTAAATAGGTTAGTTAGTTAGCTGTTGGACTGAGAGTCATCTTCTTTGAAATGAATTACTCCTCTCTGTGTTTGCTTGATGCCCCGTCCCACTGGTGCTCTTCGCCGCTAGCCGTGCTTCTTCTTCAGCTGTTCATTGTTGACGTTAACTGTAAGTGATGCTCCAGCTGGTATAAAACTAACCCAACTGTCTCTGTGTCTCAGCCGATCAGGTGTACGGGGATCAGGATATGCATGAAGTGGTCAGGAAGCACTGTATGGACTACCTGGTGAGTCACTCTGAGGGTGCTGGGATTCACACGTCTTCCTCCGTGAGCTCAGTTTGGGTTAATAAAGTTGTTTTTCTCTCCAGATGAAGAACGCCGACTATTTCTCCAACTACGTGACAGAGGACTTCACCACATACATCAACAGGAAGAGGAAAAACAATTGCCACGGCAACCACATCGAGATGCAGGCCATGGCCGAGATGTACAACAGACCGGTGGAGGTGTACCAGTACAGCACAGGTGAGTCCGTCTGGCCAATGAGAAGCTCCGGATCTGTCAGCCAATCACATCCCTCCACCCTGACCCCTCCTCCTCCTCCTGCCACAGAACCAATCAACACGTTCCACGGCATCCACCAGAACAACGACGAGCCAATCAGAGTGAGCTACCACCGCAACATCCACTACAACTCCGTGGTGAACCCCAACAAGGCCACGATCGGGGTCGGACTGGGACTGCCCGCCTTCAAACCAGGGGTACCAAAACCGTGTGTATGTGTGTGTGTATGTGTGTGTGTGTGTGTAATCAATACTTGAACTGGTACGTGTGTTAACTGGTGGATTTCCTCCCCCCCCAGTACGCAGAGCAGTCTCTGATGAAGTCAGCCATCAAGACGTCGGAGGAGTCGTGGATCGAGCAGCAGATGTTGGAGGACAAGAAGAGAGCGACGGACTGGGAGGCCACCAACGAGGCCATCGAGGAGCAGGTGGCCCGGGAGTCTTACCTGCAGTGGCTGCAGGACCAGGAGAAACAGGCCCGACAGGTACCGGGGGGTCTCGGCTTCCTGTGAACGGAGCCGAGACCGAACACAATCTCAGAGACTAACAGTAAATCCAGTACAGAGGTAGTTTTCTTGCCGGGTTTGGCTCCTGGCGTCCCGTTATCAGTCATCAACCACTTTTATTGATTATCAGAACTCTAAAATACCATTAAGAACACCTGAAGATACTTCCTGTCAGTGTTGGACAGGAGACGTTAAAGACAGAGGAGATAAACACTGAATGGAGACAGGATGTAAATGTACATCAGTCGAACACACACAGCGCCCAAACTAAACGTCTCTCCTCTTTCAGCCCCGTAAGGCCAGCGCCACCTGCAGTTCGGCGACGGCGGCGGCTTCCAGCGGACTGGACGACTGGAGCGCCCGGTCGCCACGGCAACGTGACTCTGACCCCTCCCACTCCGACCTCACGACCGCCCCGTCGACCAACAACAAGCCCCCCTCCCCGGCCGGAGCCGCCCTCATCCTGAGCAAACCCCCCTCCCCCTGCGCACCAGGTAACACACACAGGTTTTACTTTAGCTACGTTGTGAGGACCCTCGCTCCTCACTCGTTCCCATACATCAGGTGTGTTTAACCTGTCTGACTGAACTCTTTCCTGTCGACTGTGTGTGTGTGTGTG